ATACTGACCCATGTAATCAGGAATACTGGATTGATCATCTAAAATAGTGATCAGATCAAACCACCTTTTTTCTCACAGTAGGAAGTATTATGTCATTATTCGACCAAAATAAAGCGAGATAATGAAGCAATTATTATTATTATATTTTTTTTTTTTTTTGCTAAGCGAACACTTAATACATCAATTTGTAAATTAATGTAAATTCTATAATGATCTATCTGTATATTATTAGTTTGTTAGAAACAAAATAAATGAAAAGCTGTGCCTGATTATTGTTGAAACAAAATTGTATAACTCTCTCTTATTATTTGAATTTATATTGTATGCTGCATGCTAGTGGAGCAATAAAAAAAAAACAACAACAACAAAGAAAACTGATAATAAGTTATATACTGTATATACTACGACCCGAAAATCCTGGTAGTTTCAGAGGGGGTAGAAGCCGAATTTAAAATGGATACAATGGTGAAGACGACCATGGTGACGTTGGTGATGAGAATGATGATGCTGCTGATGATGATGGTGTCCAAGAAGACGATAAACTAAATTATAAGGATTATGCAAAGTATGGAGTGGTAATGATGAGGATGCTGTTGTTAGCGATGATGGCGAAGACTGTGATGGGTGTTTATGTTAGTGACTATGGTAATGGTGATAGAAATGATAGTAATCATATCAAAGTGAGGATGATGGTGGAGGTGATTTATGCTACAAAGGGTGTTGATAGTAACTAATGGTCAAGGCAATTCAACAAAAAGACGCACATCTCGGTACATCAAAGCATAATTATAACTCTGGCATTAGCAACAGCATCACCAACGTCACCATGGTCGTTTTCACCCATAGAGATATAATAAGAATACTAGAGCGCTAACAGCAATGTATTCGATGTTCGAAATACGCAGTGCTGTGTGTGTGTACCATCCAAGATGGCTGCCATAGATTCAGCCAATCAAATTTCCCCTGAGCACAATTATTTTCAATTGCGCCCTCAATTTACACAGAAAGTTCAGTACAGCTAGTTACCCGTATTTTGAAACTCGAGCGTTGCGGTGTATTGGTGTAATGTACACGATTTTAATTCTTTTTAATATTTGAATAAGATGCTCTACTTGGCCTCTTTTTGGCGACGACAGTTTAATAATTTGTCATTATCAATACTAATTATCATTAATGAAATAATATTCAGTGAGAGGGCTTATTTATGGTAATAATATGTATACTAAGCCTGAAGGTGGCGCTTTCCTACGGCAGCCATCTTGGATGGTACACATACACAACTCTGCATTGCTCCGCCATCTTGTCAGCACTCTAGTTGTTTAATAGCTCTATGTTTTCACCATTGTATCAAAGAGTATAAATAGAACAAGAGAGCCAACAACGCTCATTGAGAGCGTAAAAAAACGATACGCTCTACGCAGCTAGTGTAGGACGCCAACTAACGCTTGTATGTATTTTATTACCCAGTAATCCACCGCGCACGGTAGGTTTGTCTGTTTATCTGTTCTCCACAAGATACTGTACTTTTGTTTTCTGCTTACTGAGTTTATAGCGGGCGTACTTCTACCGCGCTGCGCAGCGCTGCACTGGATAATAAAAAGAATATACAACCGTTAGTGAGCGTCCAACACAGGCATGACGTTTTTACGAACGGGACTTTGCTCTCTTGTTCTATTTATACTCTTTGATTGTATCCATTGACATTCTACGCGCCGCACGACCCTTCACGCTGTTCTTTGCAGAAACCATAACAACCAAACCATAATTAACCATCAGCGTGTGACAAATTATCCACCCGTTACCAGTAGCCATTATATCGTGCGCCGTACGATGGTTACAAAGGCCTAATTAAGCGTTGCATTAACTTTAGACTGAAATTATATTTGTTATTGTAGCAATAATAGTGCTCAATCTGTTCATTGGTTTAACTTCAGCAAGTTTTGTGGCGAAGTTGACAGGATTTTGAAACCCAGCGGATGTGTAGCTCTCATTGGCTATACAACTCCAAATATAATTTTACCAAGGAAAACCACACCAGGGACTCAACTGACTTTTCGATGAGGTAGAATGACAAATAGTTGTTCAAACCTGGTTAATTTTGTGTATACAGTGTTATCTGCATTGATTAACAGACATTGTGAATAAACTGGGGACGGTGCCACGATCTCCGGTTTTTCTAGGGCGGGAGAAAATACCCCAGACGTCATGGCTGGGCGTTGCTTAAAGCCTCTTGGAAATGGGTCTGAGGGAAACCCCCCTGGAAACTATGACAATTTAGAAATACAAGGGCTTATTTTATCTACTATAATATATAAATATACAATCTTTTTTTACTTCCTGGCAAGTCATGTTTTGTTTCCCTGAAGGGGGTTAGAGAGGGGGAGGGGAAGCTCTTCCCAACATGGGTCCCCTGGCCACCCCTGGAATGAACGCATCTGCTTTAAATAACTATTTTATCATTGTATTTATTAATTGACTGTAGAAAGTGTAAGCTAGTAAAGCAGTAATCCTGCCATTCGATCATGCCATCTTCCTTCAATTGAATTTCATTGTCGGGGTTTATTTTAATTTATTCATATTTTAATAGGCTTAGTCAAATAGTAATAATATATCTTGCCAAAAAGCAAAAGCTGTTCCTACTTTTAGACAATATGAATAATTTAAATCAAGAATTACCCATCAAAAAATAGGCACAGGGGCATAGACTTGTTTTAGTATGAGGGACACGAAAAAGCCCAGGGGTGCAAAAATTATGAATACGGAACTAGGTCCTTATTCCAATGAAAACTTAAGCATACTAATTGGCCGTCACCCCCCCCCCCCCCCCCTCCTCCCCCCCTCCCCCCCCCTTCACTTTTTTTTTTTTTTTTTTTTTC